AGTTATATATATTGATGACCATCTAAACCAGCTCCCCAGATCAGATCGTCTGCACCGTTCAATCCAGTGCCCCGTAGCGAAGAGTGTTGCCTTTGACCTTGCCAGTCATGACCACCGCGCCACGTCGCGCAGTGATGCCTCAGCCCTCTGCCTCTATGATGTAGTCGTAATGTTGGCCTCGACCAGTCGGCGATGGTGTTCAGGTAAATTGCACAGCCCAAGATGTACTAAATTTCCTATCAAAACCTCGCCGACTCTGTTCCTGGGAGCAGATTCAAAGTATCAACATTCCCAAAATTTGTATAGGACAACACACAACCAAGACCAATCATAATAATTGCCTATCGACACTTCATCGCCTCATGATGGAAAACTATTCATTATCTACGTTCCCTTTGCGCTTTAGTAGCATATTCTGGACAAAAACCGATGTTAGTCTTTGTCAATATTGACCATTCGAGACAAAGAGTGCTGACTGAATTCTCCCAGACGGAATTGGCAATACACAATTCCACACCTCGCTTAAAGCTGTTTGAGACCGACGTCATCATTGATTCTGGTGCACTTGAAGGCATCAAGGTCTTTATTGCCACGGAGCGCAATGGAACCTCAATGAAATTAAATCATGCATTTCGAATCGACGGTGAAGTTGCCGCTGGCGGTAGCAACTCTGTCTCAACAATATTCGAGGACTCCATTACTACTATCTCCATTGACCACGCCGAGGTTCGCCTCAATTGTATGCTTAACAGAGTCACAACACACGGCATTGGTCGAATTGAGGAATGGTCCCGTCGCGTTCTGACGCCAAGTTCGAGATCGGTTGAATACATCAAAGTGTTGCATCGCTGCACCGCCTTTATGGTAAATAATTCCTCAATGATTTTCACCTTTACCTGCTCACCCATGTCTTTGTCCCATTAGCGGCACGATTTCCATGTGATTTACCTTTTGAAACCACATATCACAGACTATCTCAGTATCGACGCTCTCAATGTGGGAAATGTCATTAGCTTATGCGGTGTTGTCGTTGCACATCAGCAAGCTACGAACACATGGGAAATCGAGGTGAGTGTTTAGCCAAATTTTGTATCGTTCAACAATTGACACACCATGTCATTAAAGGTGTCGGAAGTGCAGATGATTCAAGTTCAGCCAGCTGTTAGAGAAAGCAGGCAACAAAGAGGTCTCGCCCCTCTTCCATTGTGAGGTTTAGCACACTGCAAACTCATGTACGTGTCTCTCCACTCCACACGATCTACCAATACTGATCTATTCTTTCCAGACTACCGAAATACACCAAGCATCGAGTCCAAGTTCACGCTGTCGCAGTACAAAGCATTAATGAGAGTCGCCCATAATAACTCAGAACTTGCAAATATCATTCGGATCAAGATCTTTATTCGCAAATCGCACCGACCTTCTCATGTTTCCCCCACTGTTACTCCTATTACAACTATGACAAATAGCGTCCTTTAGTCAATTTCAAGACATTGTTATTCGATCAATAGAAGCACAACTCAAAAGGTGACGCAGATTAAACTCAATACAATGCTCCCCACGCCGTTCTGCAAAGACCTTCGTTGTTGATAATACTAGGAATGCAATACAGTCACAGAACTACTGATTATAGACTAGACATTGACGGTGTAGCGTAGACATACATCGAAGGTAAGTACGGGTAGACACCGAGGTTGCATTATCACAATGATGCAGTTACAATTTGAGTCTACAGTGCTTCCCTCTGTGAAAAAAACCACTGCCTGACAAATACGTCCTCCGCTCACGACCCTTGCGACTTCCTCACAATTTTGAGCCTCTTCATTGGCACTGATCGTAATGAGTGATATTGTGCAAAAAGAAACCACTGCTCAAGCCGGTTATAAAATCAATGTTGACCACCTCTCAACAGCAACTTAGTATTAATGTCAACTCTCAGGATTGTATCCTCTCGAAAAACGCCATGTAAGATCAGATATATCAATATTGCCGTGGTTGGCTCCATTGCAACCAGATGATGCGATCAGATTTGTTTCAAGTCAGCAGCGACGTAGAAGGTTTACTGAACCATATCGTTGTCTCCACACTTGGCAACGATAGCAATAGTAATCATTGCCACAGCGCAAGCCACTTCATTTTTGGTGTGCTACCAAGAAGGCACACAAAGAGGTGATTTTCCGGTGCTTGAAGCCAGCCGCAAGCTCCATTGATCAGATTAGCCACTTAGTGTTTTATAAAGTGATGCTCAAACCTTCCATGAGATCCTTTTCCCAATATCGGTATCAGGCGACCAATCCTTCAGCTATGGTCAATGCACCAATGCCTGATCTTTCAATGTTGATCAGCGGGAAGATATGCCGTTTCCCAACCAAGGTAATAATTATTCGCCACTTAAACATTTCAAAATTTTGGCTGAGTTTGAAGTCTCTGCAACCACGTTCTATCGAATGGTACAACAAACTTTCAATGCTGGGTCTCAGTCAAACCCCATTCGTAAACGTTTTTCGTTTCATGGCACATCAACGCAGCCCTTATGACGCCCTACGCCCTACTTCTTTCACTGTTCGCCGCCTCAGTACCTTTTGTACGAAAATTCAGGTGTTTTCCAACAATCGTTCAATTCACAACTCTGACCCAGGCCAACAACACGACTCTGAAGCTTACGTTGAAAATCTCGACATCAATGTTTCGCATCTCCGCCTCCCCAATCCCAAAGCTAGACGCGAAGCCCACTCTCCAATTGCACAGCGTGAATCTGAGCCAGGTACGATTTCAGTATTGTTTCCAGCGACATACCGAATGACTTACGTGCACTGTCCACATATTCGCTTCCCTCGACCATTCTAGAACCGTTCCCTCCAATCGGACAGTTGATTCTGGGAGCGCTTGCGGAGGAGAAGGGATCACAGTATTGCCAAGATCGACGTATATAACCTTGAATGCCATATATCTCCCCCACTGCCCCAAAATCAGTCACAATCAAGGCCAGAGAATGTAAATGCCTCACCATAGTCACCCATACATTATGTTCTACTAAAAGGGTGCTCCAGAGTCCTTCTCCAATGTTGCGCTCCAGGACATAGCCACGTCCAGAAACGCTGATTAAGTTTACTTTCAAGTCAGATAACGCAAGCCATTCCGGCGATCTCTTGAGGAGAGGTCCTTGGACGATGACTACCGTATTAGACTCATCGTTGGGAGCAGCAACGTCACCTTCTAATGACACGATATCTCCATCATTGAATAGTGTTTTGTCGTCAATACGGATCTTGAAGATCGAATTCGACCAGCAAGCGAGGGTATTCTCTGACACCACCTCGAAGCATCGATGCCACTCTCCGAAACCCCCTAATTTGAAAGTCTGTGAATACGTCAGTTACACCGATGCTATTTCTCAGCGCTTTTGACAATACCACTCACTTCGTTGCGCAAAGAAACAATGCCTTTCCATCGCATATTCAGTGGTGAAGGTAACGACATTGTTGAACTGACGAAGGTGAATATTGGTATTGCAAAACACACTTCGTTGACGAGATGTTGGTAGTGTCCACAACGTTTCTATTTTGAACTGCCAGACCCGAATAATCACCACTATCAACTTATGCTTCAGAACATTATTTGTAATCAAGGCACAGTACTCAAACGGCTCAGTCCATGTCACTCCGACATAAAGTGTAGCAATCGAAAGGCTGTAGTTGTAGTCATCAAGTAAATTCCGGAAATGCGGGCACCCTACATGCCGACAAAGTCAATAAAAAAAGGGGTCAATACTGACGCTCTCGATTCATGATATTGTCGCTACCATGGTGAAAAACACCACTGCACAGGGCATTTTTGAACATGTTCTCCGCGATAACGACTGCCTTCAAAAGAAACCAATTTACCGACAAGGATCGTTGAACTAAAATAACGTAGTGCGCTACTGCGTTGATTCTACAGAAGTTAAATACCAAATTCTATATCCCGTCAAAATATGTTGTTAATACAAAGCGGAGTAAAATTAAGACGATTGTCGGAAGACATTGCAAGGTCGAAAAGAGAGGTCGATGTGTTCCCGCCTCACATTTTACACTACAGAACTATACAACGCTGGTATGCTAATATCTATATGCTAATGTGTCGATTGCTGATATAGACAGCCCTAGACTCAACTCTCGATATCAGTGAAACGCCGTGTTGATACTCGAGGCTTGATGGCGATACCTACACCTAACTCGGAGCAAAGATCACTGCGCGGGAACACGGACAATGCATTGTTAAGCACATCGATTCACAATCGCGATCACGACCGGGCATGGACTTCGATGCGCATGGTGGCTCAGTGGGTGTGTTGAGTTGATACCGTTGTCAAAAGGCGATTCCATGTCACTTTGGGCCAGACAGACTGCCGACTACGATCGTGACCATGCGGTGCTTTCGTTGAGGCAGACCTGCAACTGTCCAGTTCGTCGCTCATCTTCAGTTGCCGTCAGCTTTTCAAGTCCAAACTGTGACCGCTGACTAGAGTTTTGATACCTGACCAGGAACAGCATCGTGCCTCACTATTCGTTCATTTTTTCATCGCCGCTATGAGTGTGCCTCATTGCTCTACTGTATCATTACGCCGACCAGGACAGCTCCCAACCGGATCAGTGCTCATCATTCGACACGCTTTCGCCGCGCAACGCTATCGACACCTATTCAAATGCCCGGTTAGTCACTATGCCACGACGGTCCAGAAAAACAGTGACCTTACAGTCGGAATTTCTACAAATACTACCGGTGTCCCCCTTGATCCAGCGTTCAATCACTATCTGCCATCATCTTTCCTCCCAATCCTCTGCGTACAATACCACCTCACTTTAGATTTTTAAATTCGTCTCTTAGTCTCCAGTAATCCATACACATTGATTGATAATGGCACTGCAAATGAAGAAAAACGACAACCGTACTCCATCGCATCCAATCCGTGTTGGCTTTATGGGTGAAGCCGGTGCTCAAGTACGTTTTTCTGTTGATCAATTCCACTTTATCGTCAACTGAAATTCTGCTTGGCAGGCGCTTGCAAAGATGAACGGCAGCAAGGGTTTCATATCACATCACGCGTCTATAGCCACATCTGGAATGACCGGCGGCGCTCCTTTTGAAAATCCTATCCAAATAACATCATACGGTTCACAGGCTGACACTCTGGCTGCAAAGAATGTTTATTTGATGAACTGCAAACTCATCGGTACCAACAACAGTACCAATGATCAGCTTCATTTCGAAAATGCTAACCGTATTAACCTCGGTTCGGTCGACAAATTCGGCGAGTTCTTTGTCGGGGAGTTGATCGACAAAATCACGATATCGGCGTTGGGATATGTTGTCGGAAGAGATTTGATCACCGACCCGGTCTTTAAAGGTAAAAGTACCGTCGTCGTCACGTTGAAGTCAACTGACTACGATCCCTTGGTTCGTCCACGTTACTCATTTTGGGATAAGTCTCGACGCTAACTTCATTTTGATCAGACCAAGGCCAATGTTAGCTGGCACACCAAGCATTATATTCCTCCCGTGCGCAACATGGAGAAAGCGCAGAATCTCTGCCAGTTGGGTCGTGAGGTGCTGCTTACTGGACAAATTAAAGACTATGACTCCAATCTCTTTATGTGGGAAAGCGAGGTAAGTATGTTGCTGCCTGTTGAAGATCTCCTACTGACGACATCGATTTCGCATAGCAGGTTCATGCAATCAGCATCTGTCATGGAGAAATCACTATTCAATCAACGCCTTCGTCACGATCTGGTGGTGGTCCGAGTGGTGGCAGAATTCCTCTATCTCTGTAAGTGTTAACCTAACCAACCGCCACCGAATTTAACTAATGCTGTAATGATAGAAATCGAAACCCAGGTAGCAATGTCGCCAGTACTTCGTCTCAACGAATAGAGTCAACAGCCCCCCAGAGTATCGCCACCGATAACTCCGATCCATTGTATGAGTCTTTATTTGGCGGTAACGAAGCCGAAGTTAGCGGAGATGAGTCGGGTAGCGAGGTTGATTCCCCGCTCGCTGAGGTTACTAACTCCGCCGGCAAACGTCGCAGACGAAACTGATGTCGTCCGCAAAGTCTCGGTGAAGAACTTTTCGGTACGGCATCAAATCTCTAATTCCGATCACTGCCGTTTTTTGCGCTTCCATTTCTTTCAGGAATCTGCATCATAGCACCACAAGATCGTTTTCTGTTCTTTTTTACCTAATGTGTCTAGATTCAATTCTCACTGCGCACTGTTCCTTTTTCTGTTCTGTCATATTTCCTGTGTATATACCTCCAAATTTGTAGATATTTCAGCATTGCTACCAAAATTAACTACAGCCATTCTTTTTATTACTTTTGACCGAGGTGGAAAATTCAATGCAGGTCACAACGCACCAGGCTGGGCAGAAATGCAGCTGAGGTGGTGTGTAAGCGCTCTCAATGGCGAGAGGACATTGTAACATCAGCAAATGGCGCTGAATGCCCACTCTCGGCAACGGCAGGACTAAGCAGATAACTATATCAATCCAGTCAAACTGGAAGTGACATCAGCCACGATCCGAACGTTGATTCATCGCCACGGAGTCCTAATCGTTAATCACTAACCGGATATATATACATAGGAACGATGCTTATCCGTTGCAGCATTACTATTCTCTTTTTCAATTGAGCAGTCTTTCAACCAGCTGAATTTCTGCACTTCCCACTCTTCGTTCGCAAACCAATTTCTATCCACCATCAACAAATCGTTGACACCTCTCAGCGTACAGGTTACCTGCCTCCGGACAACGATCTCAAAAGCACCATTGGCTCGAAGGATTCTTTCCTGCTGCCGTGACTTTGATCTCTGTCACAAGTATTGCTGCTACCCGGTGCCAACACATCATCTTATTCTTCAACACGAGAATCGCCACCCCGCAGCACAGTTTGAGAGGTCTATAGCCAGAGCCCCGACAGAAATATCCCGTAAGTCATTTCCATCAGTGATCATCGTGCCAATGATCAATAACATTGATAGTGTTTGTAAACAACACGACGCCTATTGTTTTTGAATAAGGAGACTACCACACAACAGCGGCAGAAATCACGACCAGGTCAAACGCGCTGTTCAACTCCATCCACAGTGTACGTGATTTGATTGCTGTCCGAAGTCACAAATTCTGATTTTTATTACTACGTCGTTCAGGCTCCGCATCTCCAATGGCACCACGTCAAGCTGCAGCGAGTCAACCTGCCGAGAACCACCAATGTTTTCTGCTACATCGATTCAGAGAGGAGATCCCACACAATCTCGGGGTTTGCACTGACATCTGTATTAAATGTCGAGCATTGCACTGGACGAAGGAACGACCAAAGAAATCACCTCTGGGCCAACCGACTTCCTACACAATGTGCTGCAGAAACGGTAAAATCAAATTGCCACAACATTACTTTACGTTTCCGAGCGCGCCGCCGTTCCTCATTGGCTTATTGACCGAAGATACAGACCGTGAGCAGCCTCTTCGCGATGGAATACGCAAAGATACTGACATTTGTTACAACAGGTGCCGTCAAATTCCGCAACAACATTAGGAACTACAACAATGCTCTAAGCTTCACGTCTCTAGGATGTAAAATCGATCGTAGTGTCGACGGACCATTCGGAATCCGTTGTTTCAAAATATTCGGACAATTGGTCCACAACATGGGGAGCATTCTCCCGCGAAATAACGAGGCACCGGCATTTGCACAAATCTATCTTATGGGCCAGGACACCAACGATGAAGCCGATCATCGGGTTTTTATGTCTCAATCAGATATTGACCCGAGTATCATAAAGCAATTTTTGGATTTCTTTTACGTTTCTAATCTGTACGCTATCCAATTTAAAATGGCATATCAAATATCACTTCAATACGAAAGTATCTCCTTTCGAATCAAATCTATACCACCACCGCCTCCTGGACAATTCAGCCACAATGTGAGAACGTATGTGTGGCCTGCAGCTTCTGAAGTGGCCATGGTGGTTGGGGGCGGAGGGGATATAGGTGAGAACAATAGAGACATAATCTTACACAGCGTCGACGGGGGTTTCAAACGGGTTTCGGAGCGTCACACGGGCTACTTACCATTACGGTATCCAGTACTCTTCCCATGGGGTCAAGCGGGCTATGACGAGAATTATCGGGTGCCGACGCAGGATAGTAAGTTCTTTTTTTACAATTTTCGAGTTCGGCACATACTAATCGTTTCTCAGATGTGGGCAGAAAAGTTTCAACTTTGCAGTGGTTCGCATATCTGCTTTTTCATCGACCGAAGGAATTTTCGACTATCCTGTTGTCACACATGCTACTGCAGGAACTCGCAACCGATTTATACGCCTGCGTCGAAAATCAACGTATCATGTATTTCAGAACTCAACAGGATGACATCCGCGCCGACCTTTACTCTGGCGCTGTCGAAGCATTGGGTCGGAACGATTTTTCGTTTGGACGTCGCGTAATATTACCTTCATCACACATCGGCGGACCCCGAGCGATGACCCAGCTCTACTACGATGCCATGGCGTTAGTTCGTCACTACGGTCCTCCGAGCTTTTTCATTACCATGACAGCAAACGACAACTGGCCGGAGATTGAGTCGGAGTTGAAGCATGGACAAACAGCAATGAATCGGCCCGACGCAATTACCCGAGTTTTCAATATGAAGTGGGAAGATATGATGCACGATGTAAATAAAAAAGGGAGGCTTGGTGCTGGGCGTTTGCACGTTTCGACAATCGAATTTCAGGGCAGAGGAAGGCCACACGCCCATTTCATCCCGATCCTTGCCAAGGGTGCGGCACCGCGGACACCGCACGCAGTTGATTTGGTGGTTCGTGCGGAGATACCAGATCCAGACGACAAGGATATTCTATACGAGGCTGTCACGAAATTTATGCTGCATGGTCCATGCAAGGAAGGCAGCACATGTTGGAAAGGTGGTAAATGCAAATATGGGTATCCTAAAGAGTATGCCGAAAGTACACTAATGTCTGACAATTCGTATCCCACCTATTGGCGCCGGGATAATGGTAGAACATTTGTGAGGGGGGGATACACTTATACCAATCGCAATGTTGTGGCGTATAATCCTTTCCTACTATTGAAGTACAATTGCCATTTAAATGTTGAAGTCGCGTGTAGCATCCAAGCGCTGAAATATCTGTACAAATATATTACTAAAGGCCACGATCGTGCGTCGTTGTCAATGTCGGCGGAGAACGAGCTTGATATCTACATCGATGGTAGAAGCTTGACAGGCACTGAAGGTACGTGCTGCTTAATATATAATTCATTCCTTCCGCTAATGATTCGTCTTTCCAGCATGTTGGCGGTTATTTATGTTTGTGATGTCCACTCGATTCCCCGCGGTTCAACGTCTTCCACTCCACATGCCACGAGACAACGTTGTATATTTTCGCACAATTCGATCTTTACAAAACCAGATTGATTCCGGCAGGGCTTCGCGGACACCATTAACGCAGTTCTTTATGTTGTGTCAGCAAAACTACTACTTAGTCAATGCGAAGATTAGCGTCAGGACTTTAACATACCCCGAGATGGTGTACTATTTCTCCTGGGATGAGGACAAAAAGGAATGGAAAGTCAGGACCAACAAATCAAAAACGATCCCAAGAGTTTATTTCGCCAGTTTGTCACAAGGTGACCGCTATTATCTTCGCCTGCTACTCTTCAACGTCAAGGGACCGACGTTGTATGAAGATCTCCGCACGGTCGACGGCATTACGTATGAAAAATTCAATGGAGCAGCTGCAGCTTTGGGTTTGTTGCTCAACGACGATCATTTCATTGCTACCTTGGAAGAGTGTTCGCAAACACAATCGACGTATCAGCCCAGAAGCATCTTCACAATTATTCTCAAGTATGGAAGTGCAAGCGATCCAGCGAGACTTTGGGATTTATTCAGAACTCCGTTGTCTGAGGACTGCGCTTACGCGATGAAGCAGGTTGATGCCAAGAGGGTACCAACTCTCGAAATGATCGAAGCATTAGCTCTGTGGCGACTCGATGACTCCCTCTCAGAAGTCGGTCTCGACCTCGCCACGATGGGATTACCGCAGCCGAATCTAGCCTGTCTGGATGGATATGGTCTTCTACTAGGTTACGAGAATGACAATGATTTCTCTATGGATGCCAGCACTGACTATGTAATGGACAATCTGGGCATGATGAATGATGAGCAGATGGCATTGTTCGAGGAAGTCAGGACGGCGATTGCGATGCAGCGTTCAGCATTGTATTTCCTCGACGGGCCGAGCGGTACAGGCAAGACATTTACGATCAACACCATTCTTCATTACTGTAATGCAATGCGGGTTCCATTTCTGTCGGTTGCATCCTCTGGAATCGCTGCATTGTTATTGTACAAAGGTACCACAGCGCACTCAGCGTTCAAAATTCCGTTAAATCCCGACGACGCTTCAGTGTGCAATTTTAGTGGGCGAGATGCAGTGTCCAGATGGCTGCAAGAGTGCAAGATTATCGTCTGGGACGAAATTTCAATGCAGAATAAGGCTGATATTCATTGTGTCGATCGCTCTCTCAGGGAATTGCGGAAAGTGGACAAGCCATTTGGTGGAATTATAGTCCTCTTCGCTGGAGATTTTCGTCAGACTTTGCCGGTAATTCCGCGCGCCACGGTCCCTCAACAAGCAACTGCATCGTTACGGAGGTCTTATTTGTGGCCTTTGGTGGAGCAATTCGCATTGGTGATCAATGTATGTCTACTCGGCGCCGAAGGAAGACGCCCAAATTCACTACAAAGAAACGCCGAATATGCCGCTTGGCTATTAAAATTAGGATCCGGTGACCTTCAAACCCAAACGGAATCCACCGTTCCAATTGATCACATCAACGTTAAATGTGTCGCACCAAATAAACTTTACGACAAACGAATGGCGTTGAAGTTATACTCCAAAGTCAACGCTTTGAAGGTCGCTGGAGATTGGGTTCCGTTAGCAGACTTTTACGCGGACAGGTGTATCATAACACCACTGAATCGAACGGTGGTTACAATTAATGAAGAAATACTAGAAAAGCTCGACGGTGAGACATTTGTGTCATATTCAATTTACACCAATGATGATTCGACGACATGCAAACCCTTAACACCTGAAATGCTGAACTCTTTCGCGGTTCCAAACTTTCCAATTCACGAGCTCCATTTGAAATCGGCGATGCCAATCATTTTATTACGGAATCTGAATCTCAAACAGGGTTTGTGCAATGGCACTAGAATGTTAATTACTCACGTAGCGAGAACGTATTTGTCATGCAGGATTATTACTGGGGCGAAGAAAGGCAAGAAGGTAACAATCCCACGTATCAATTTACATCACACTGGCAGCGCTATTTGTCCATTACCGTTTTACAGATATCAATACCCAGTTTCTCCTGCATTTTCTATGACGGTGAATAAGTCTCAAGGCCAAAGTCTTAATCATGTTGTTGTCTTTCTACCAAGCCCGGTCTTTTCGCACGGACAATTGTACGTAGCGCTATCGCGGTGCACAAGCGTAGAAAACATCAAACTATGCATGTCGGTCCCGAGTACAACAAACGCGACTATGAACATTGTATACAAGAATATATTGTCTGACGGCTGATAACTTTTAACGTACGTTGAAGTTGCCAATATAATGGCACGACTACTCAGCTGACGCGCCATTTACTTTCATCGCAGAGCCGCCTGTGGTATCGACAGGAGGCTACGGTACAAGAATCAATGACGATTTTGTGGAAATTGCCTACTATGTTGACGGCTGATGGATGCCGGTTTTGGCCGGCGGTAGGATTAGTTTTTGGAAATGTAGCCTGGACCAATATCAAATCTCTATGTAGTGCGTTGACAATTCAAGCAATGCACATTACCGTATTCTGCTTTGACTATGCTGTGACAAACAACTCTACTAAATTGCAGTCGCATTCAGGTTGTTTACAATCGTGACCGCATGGACAGCATGATACAACTGCACAGAAATAAATTCCCACACACTCAGAGTCATAGCGAGTGAAAACATTGTTGTAGTTAAATGTATATGCCTGGCTGATGCCGAATCGATGGATGGAGTATTCATTGAGCCAAATCATAGCTCTGAGTTGCAGTGCATTATTGAATATCACTCATTGCCTTGACACAGTGTTACCTCAATATAGTGACACAGACACTTCATGCCGTTGAGCCCATGATCGACATGATGCAAATAGTGACAGCTTTCAATGAAATACTGCAAAGACGGATAATAAAGGTAAACACTTCCAAAGCTATGGTGGGTACCAATGAACTGAAGCATTGTATAGCTCAATGATATGACCCTTATAGCGACAGAATCGATGATGACGCTGCCGGGACAGAGCCGAAGGGCTGCGATGGATATTGCTGAGTAGAAGTGCAGCGGGTCAGTTAGTGTGCAATGTAATATAAAGGTAAAGTCACGATGACATAAATGTATATAAAAACGGTGTCACAAAATAATGTATCAATGCCAGCTATGGCGCCGCTTTCAGTGTCAAGTGCGGAGATGCAGTACTCTCGGGGCGGATCGTAACCAGGGCCGCTATGACGCAGTTCAGGACGTCGTATAATCAATCCGTTGTGAAGACTTCCCAACCAATGACAACATTACATGAACATCAACAATGAACATGGCACGAAGGCAAAATATCCCAGTCGCAATGAATGGAGGCTACCTGCCACTACGCTTGACAGGTATATTTTGGGTCGGAAATGCAGTAAGTCGCGAATATCGGCAGTGAACAACGCTAACGCACCACTTCAGTTGGATCTTCCTAGCCAGGTAGTACAAGGACAACGATCATACGATTGCCAATGCAGTGCAACAAACACCAATTTCGATATACTCCATCTAATACTCACAGAGGACGGTACCCACACCATTATGACCTCGGACAGCGCGTTCTTGATGAGCGGCAAAATAATGCAAGACGACAGACCCTGGCATAATGTATTGAAAGTGGAGGCCGAGAGCGTCGTTGCCATTAACGTAGATCGCGCCGTTGCGAAATCACTATTGGGTCAGGCGATGGTTGTCGGTCGTGGTCGAATAATGGAAAAAACAGTCAATTTTGA